CACCATCCCTGGAGGGGTTAAAAAAACCGTGTAGACATGGCACTTGGGGCCGTGGTTTAGTGGGCATGGTGGTGGTGGGTTGACGGACTGGTGATCTTAGAGGCCCTTGCCAACCTTTGTGATTCCTAGTAATAACCCAGCCACCAAGCCAGGAAACACGAAATTAATTATTAGTCTACCCTTAAGTGGTTTGGTGGTGGACTTGGCAGTGTTAGGTTAAAGGTTGGACTGGATGATCTTAAAGGTCTTTTCCAACCTAAATGATTCTATGATTCTAAATTAAGGTGAAACAACACCAAACGATCAGTGAAACACTTCATTGATGGTAAACACCAACCTGAACTTGGAAAGCGTAATGGTCGGCAACACAAACCTGGAAAGCACAACGATAGGCAACGTGGGTTCTAATTCAAATACTTGTAAGAAGAAAGGAGAAGGAAGAATGTGTGGGGGGAGAGCGATTTCACCACCCTTGGGTCCCGCGATGATGCTAGACACGGCAGCCCTCCGGCAGTGGGCGTGCTGCTCTTGGAGTGCAGGGTCTCTGGCTGCACCGGCACCCGGCTGGGGCACAGACTCGGAGCAGCAGCAGTGTGGAGTCCTCCGGTGGTGGGCGCGTGCCCGTGGCTCCTCAAAGTTGTGTCCTTTGTAGGCCAGTCCCTGCCTCTAGTCTCGCTCCCCTTGAGGCTTGTTCCAGAATGTTCTTCATCTTCTGCGCAGGTGTCACTGCGGGGGGGTGGTCACGAGGGGTATTTTGGGTGGTCGTGAGCCCCTTCCTCAAATGAACTCCGCGTGACGTCCGGCCATCAGAAGGCAGAACTGCACATCGTCCGACACGCCTCCCAGCTCTGCGCCAATTGGCTTCTCACCTGTGGGGCTGTGCAGACGCCACTTTATCACCATGGAGACCTTAACTTGTCTCTATGTAGACCTTAACTTGCCTCACCGCAATATTTGTGACATTAACTTTTTCAGTCTCTCACAGGGCATCACAATTATTTGAGATTTAGGTACTATCCCAAATTGACCTCGTGCATTTTTTGCTTGCAGAGTTTGCCCTGCAGCCAGCGCCAGCTGTCACTTACAGAACAATTGGGGGAATTCTTGATTTTTATGTCTTCTTGGGAGACACCCCCGAGCAAGTGGTGCAGGAGTACGTGAAGGTACGTTAGTGAACCCCAACCCAATGGTGGTGGATCCTCCATCCTTGGAGACACTCAAAGCACGACTGCGGACAGCCCTGGGCAAAAGGCTCTTGGCCATTCTGCTTTGACCAAGGGTGTGATCTTTGAGTAGATGATCTCCAACCTCCATCATCCTGTGGTTTATCTTGAGAAATTATGCATTGAACAGATTTTTTTGTTGTTGTTGTTTAAAGTTTTATTTTCTCCCCCTCTATTTCCATGTCTCTTCACTATTTCATTAATCCAAAATTATAACTGAAGGTTTGCCCCTCACCTGTTTGCTGTTATTGGGAAGTGCTCTCTAGGGTTAGAGTTGGGATTATGGGTGAAATTTAAGCACTAATTTTGCTCAGATTGCTAAATCCATCCGTACACGTGTGCCAAAGGTTTCCCAGTGTGGCTGTCTGCTACTGGAGCCTGCAATGGTCTGCGTGCAACAATGCGCTGGCAATCATTTTTTACTTATATGATAAAATTACAGGGTAGATAACGTGCTTAGCAATTCATCATGATCTTACGGTAGCGAAGTATCTGCACTTCTACAAATCTATTGAGGTCTCTATGGCAACTAATTCCCATATGTGTGTTTTCGGGCCAAATACATGTTTCAATGACTTCTTAAAGACAGGATAGGTACATTTTAAAACAGCATTAAATTTACTTCTTTAGTAACTTAAATCTTTAAATTTAGACTAAAACCTGTCTTTTCCTATTCTATTCCATTCTATCATTTTTATGCAGTTTCCCTTGTTCCTATGCAGTTTCCCCTTACTTATCACAATTTTTTTTAGGTTCATTCTGCAGCTTTTCTTTACCTTGCCTCTCCTTGGTAATACTGCTCCTCAGTTCAGGGGTATCGGTGCTGTGATATTACCTGAAGCCATCATTCAAGTATAACAACTGCTGTATGAATACATGATAAAATGTGTTACTAAACCTAAGAGCTTACGCTTTTTTGGTAAGGCAGCAGATAAGTGGGTGCAATGCCAGGAAACAGAATGACGTGGCAATTTTATATCATATAAATAGAATGATATAATACAATATAAATCTTTATGGGTAGTAATGGACACTTCATTCTTTGCATCATTCACATCTGGTTGTTTTTTTGGGGAAAAAAGAATATAGAAAAATATAGCAGCTGTGGGCGATTTCATAAAAATGTACTTTATCGTACTCGAATTTAATCTCTGATTTGTATGGGAATCAGAGAATTTAGGGAATCAGCCCCAAAGAGAGGAGGTTCGTGACGCTTGTTATTTTTGGGTTTAATTTCCAGTTCATAGGGTTGCCAGCATTGCCCTCCTACTGGAGTCTGGGATTTCACCTCAGCAGGTACGATTACGGGTCTCTCGACAATGTGAAGGCTGTGGTGGAGCGAAACAGAGCAATCGGGCTCCCTTATGTGAGTAAAAATGCGACCTTTTTCCTCTAGCTATGGCCATTTTCACTGGCCGCACAGTTTTCTGTATAAAATGCTGAATGATTTTAAATGCTGTTCACTCCCTTTTTTTGTGGAAACATTTTTTTTGGTTTAACGTTTCCAGCTCAATGTATTTATTTCCACGTTATGCACATTTATTTGGCTTAATCTGTGAACCAATGAGATCAACCCCAGTATGCAAATTAACTTTACACTCTCAGAAACACTGGAAAACTAAAGAGCATCAGAAGCTAATTTTTCCCCCAATTTAGTGATGGATAGCAGTTAAAAAAATGCTTTAGGTGCCCACATCCAGCTGCGTTTCTGGGAATCTTTAATCAAAATGCAGCACGTTGAGAAGACGTGCCATGGCTGGGGCCCTTCAGCGTCACGTCTAACGTCCCATCTTCTCCCAGGACGTTCAGTACACGGATATCGACTACATGGAAGCGAGGAAAGATTTTACTTACGACAAAGTGAACTTCAAAGACCTCCCCAATTTTCAAACTTATATGCATGACTATGGGCAAAAATACATTATCATACTGGTAAGCGTTTAGATATTTGTTTTTCCGTTTTAAATAGTATCATTAGGTTAATGGGTGGACTGGATGATCTTAAAGGTCTTTTCCAACCTGAATGATTCCGTGATTCTATGATTATGAGTAAATATGCGTTATATGTACTTTTTAAATATGTATGTTGTTACATGAGACATAGAATCACGGAACCACGGGACGCTTTGGGCTGGAAGGGCCCTTCAGAGCCCCCCCGGCCCACCCCCCCTGCAGTGCCAGGGACAGCTTTACCCAGCCCAGGGGGCTCAGAGCCCCGGCCAGCCTGGCCTGGGATGTTCCCAGGGATGGGGCATCTCCCACCTCTCTGGGCAACCCCTTCCAGTGCCTCACCGCCCTCAGCGTAAAGAATTCCTTCCTTATGTCTAGTCTAAATCTATTCTTCTTTAGTTTAAATCCATTATTCCTTGTCCTGTCCCGACAGGCCTTGCTAAAAAGATTGCCCCCGTCCTTCCTATTGGCCCCCTTTAAGCACTGGAAGTCTGCAAGGAGGCCTCCCCGCAGCCCCCTCCTCTCCAGGCTGAGCACCCCCAGCCCCCCAGCCCGGCCCCGCAGCAGAGGGGCTCCGGCCCTCGGGGCATGTCGGTGGCCCTACAACGACATCTTCCCATGTAGTTGCTGGGCTTTTTTTTAGGGAACCAATCATTGGCAGAGAGAACTGTTTTCTTTCCTGTGGTTTCCCACTCCTTTAGGATCCTGCTATCAGCACAGAGGCTCTCGCTGGTGGTTCTCCCTATCAAGCCTACGAGAGGGGACAAAGCAAGAAGGTTTGGGTTAACGAGTCGGACGGAGTGACACCGTTAGTCGGAGAGGTAATAAAACCCTTACGAAGTTGGAGCCCAAATTCCATTTAGTTTGGGCCAGGGTAATCTTCCATTTTTCTGCTCTTCTCAGTATTTCGCAACACTCACTATTTTTTTATCAATTTTCTTTCCATTTTGATTTTTGAAAAGGAAAAGTGAGCGATTTTGAAGTTTGGGAGACGCAGGCAGCCAACATCTGTTTATTTTCAATAGTTATCAGAGAGCAATTCCCACTTTGCTGCTTTGACAGCTTGTTTAGAATAGATTTACAAATGCAGCTGCTTATTGTAAAATTTGCATAACTCAAAAATAATTTTGACTTTAAAAGTGTCTTTGGAGTTTAGAACTCAGAAGTTAACAAAGCCACTTTCTGCCTTCTTTCCGCGTGTAAATTTAGGAATAATAGAATTCATATTAATTAATAATGATAATTCATATTATTTAATGATGATAATTAATGTTAGTTAATAATGATAATTCACTCTTGCAATTTACAGCTCAAACCCCTTCTCCTGATCACTATATCAATGCTGTCCTGCAAAAACTAGTAATCCTGAGGTTTTATACCCGAATGTTTCTCCAAGAGAGCTGTTGACATAAATCTGAAGGAAGTCTGAGGACTTCAATCTTTCTGCAAGGTCATCGACAGTTTGGTTATTTCCCTACTTTTATGGTAGGTGTGGCCAGGAAGAACCGTCTTCCCAGACTTCACCAACCCTGACTGCACCAGCTGGTGGGTGGAGGAATGCAAAAAATTTTATAAACAAGTGCCATATGACGGGATCTGGATTGTAAGTAATTCCTGAAATTTTCACGTTTGGCAGAAATAGGCTAATAGACTAATGGTAAGTCAGGTGTCAGTCTGCATTGATTCGAAGGAAGATTTACTGAGAATAACCTGAAATCCATGTGGGATTTGTATCTTTTCTGTAGCATTCGATGCACTTGGGGGAAATCCTTGTTTTTCTCATGTCAGGGGGATTTTGTTAGAAATTGCATTTACCCAACGATCTGGATGCTTGCTTCTTTCAGTACAGGTGTATTTCTGTAATTTAATTTATCCAAGAACTGCCTGTGACCAGGATCACAATTACTCCACTAACTTCTAATTTTAATAAACAGTATCTTTGGGGAGAAATTATTTTCCCTCTGGAGAAAAGATGAACACCCTCTGTAGGATTTTGGGGTTTAACTCCATAAAGTAATTTTTCTCAGGCCAGAACAAATAACCTTTGTTTATATTGCAGGATTTGCAAAGAGTTACAGTGCTTGATATCTCCAGTTTTGGTGGAGTGCCACCATCGCCACTTAAAATCATCTTTTTGACGTTCAGAAAGATTTTTTTTTCCTTGCTTACTTTTATAAAACCAATGTCCTGGTTGCTGGATGAGGAGTTCAGCAGCTTATGAATATTATTGCTTATACGCTTCCTGTGCCCTCAAGTCATAGTCACTGCAAGTGGGTTTGTAGCCGTATATTTGGCTGAAAGCCCAGAAAGTATTGCTGTTGTGCATAAACATTATAGCTGCCATTTGAAATTTGAAATTGCAATTTTTCAGGATATGAATGAAGTAGCCAACTTTGTTCAAGGGTCAAGTAATGGATGTGAGCAGAACAACTTAAACTATCCTCCCTTCACGCCCCGTAAGTCTGTCGCCTTTGGCTGTGGAACAAAAAAAACCCAAAAAACCCAAGTCAGAAATTTGATCGTTGCTGGTACATGGTCAGATGAAATTATTCAGAAATTTGGGGTGTAGCTTTTGGGTGAGTCCTTCCTTGCATGAGAAATACATCTTGAAGCCAAATTTAAGCTTGTTGAATTGAAAAATTGAAGTAGCATCAGGCTACTAAATCCTACCCTGTTTGCAAAGCTGCATTTGTGCACATTTTAGCAGCAGTTGGGGAATTATTCTGCTATTTCTACGTTGATTGCTGTAAGATATGGGAATTTTGAAGACAGGAATATTCTTTCTTAAAACAAAGATGAATAAACCTGGAAACCCGTAGTAACATCATATGACACAGATGAGCACTTAACACTTTGGCCTTGGAGTACTGGGGTGAATTCAAACACCAAAGTGAGAAAAGGGCCGAAATTTCATGAGCGTGCATGAAGGAAAAGAATAGAAATACTCTTTTTTCCCCTTAATTAGGGAATTTATTTTTTCAACAAGTAGTGTAATTAAATCAGTTTAAATGCACTCCTGAATGTTCTTCCTGCAGGTGTTGTCGATAGACTCTTGTATTCCAAGACACTCTGTATGGATGCAGTGCAGAAGTGGGGGCAGCAATATGATGTTCACAACCTTTTTGGGTACTCTATGACCCTCTCAACACAACGGTGAGGAATCCTCCTTAATATCTTTGTGGAAAATGGCAGAGTAGAGCATATGGCCTCCATTTAGAGAAACTGAGCAATTTCATTCCCCAAGGAATCTGATCTGGGGATCAGTATCTGTCTTCCCACAATGGGCTGAACCTGAGCATTCAAAATCGCATTTTTTTAAAATTGGAATTGAATTCTCAATCAAATTCGAAGTCCTAGCATCGGATTTCAGCGGTGCCACTATGGGTAGAGGAAGCTGAAAGGAGACCTGAGCTTTATTATTTGGAGTTCAAATATGACGAAGGTTGGCAGCAAAAACTTAGAGAAAGATTCTTTAAGGCAAATATAGAGATATAATATTAATTTAGTTAATAGACATCTAGTTAAACTTGAAGGAGTCTGTGTCCTTAGCTTATTTATTATTGTGAAAGAATAAATGAAAATGAATAGAAACTTGCTTTATACAAGTCTACTCATCTCCATAACTTTTCTTTTTTTTTTTTTGCTTAATTCCAACCTTTTTTTTTACTTTCAGAGCCATTGAAACTTTATTTCCTGGAAAACGAAGCTTCCTTCTTTCAAGGTCTACTTTTGCAGGATCGGGAAAGTACGCCGGACACTGGCTGGGAGATAACGCAGCAACGTGGGACCACATAAAATGGGCGATACCTGGAATGCTGGAATTTGGCCTCTTTGGAATCCCTTATGTATGAAAACAGTCATTTATGCTACCCTTTCAAAACAAGCGGGTAGCTGTGATACTTGATG